GAGCTGAGTGACGGGTACCCAGGGGTTAATGGTACTATTTGGTCCATTTTGGTATAAGTTTTGTAATTTTCATAATAAAAAATGTAAAATATAAAACCCCCAAAGGCTTGCCAGGATTCATCTACTGGGGCACATTTGCCGGGGTGTAGGGAAGGTCTCGCTGTCATCGCTGCATAATCGTTGGGGGTAAATATGGAAGTTTATCAATCAGAAAGGCTGCAGCGAGGCGCGCTAGCTGGCAGTGGTCCCAGCTCTGTGTGGCTGCCATCTAGCCTTGAGGCCCATTTGCCCTCTATAAATAACAGGCTATGTGAATGCTTTACTATTTTAACGCACACTTGCCACAGCTGTGGATCATGTTTGTTTACGTAGCTGTGAAGCCTTCTGTAAACATCACTATCTCAAAATTGCCCATGTGTCAGGAACATAAAGGGCCCCCTTTAAAAATATAGTTGCAGATGAGACGCAGCCAGCTCCTGGATGTCTGGGTGGCTGGTGTCAGAATTTTCCAGGGTTTGATTCATTTTCAAAAATAGAATCACATGACAGGAATGGTCTCCGGAGGTCGCCTCCAACATCCCTCGGCAGGACCAGGTCTAGAGCACCCCTCTGACTTCAGGCCGCAGCAGAACGAAGGTACCTGTGGAGCATGTGGGTCTGTCCTTTAGGAGTGTGAGTTTGTCTTTTACCAGCTCCTTCGAGACATTGAGGATGAGCAAGCCTGGTGTCCTGCCTTCCAGGGGCAGCAGACAGAGGAACCCAAGTGGTCCACCACTGTAGGGCAGCTCCAGGTCAGGGTCACTGTGTGCCCACTGCATGCATGATAGGAAGGGTGTGTTGAGGCCACGATGCTGCCTGGCAGATGTCTCCTCATCCAGACCACGGAATGTCACTTAAGGTCAACTAATAATATTCTGAAGGAAGTCATGAGAACAGCAGAAGCCGTTTGGTGTCAGCTTGCTGTTTTCATGGCTCCGGATTTCCAGCCTGCACTACAATGAATAATTAGTTCCTTGTGAATTTGTTTTCCTCGAGTGTGCATTTGGTCCACATTGTTTTTCCTGTGGCTTTGATATATTGAACATTGTTCCTCCCTAAGGGCCTGTTTAGTGCCCATAAATCCCAACTGTGGTTTTCATTCACAAAGAAAAAGCATCCTGCTGTAACCTAAGAGATCGGTAGCACTGGAAGTGCTGAATTGTATGAATCCCACGAGGGAAGGACCAAGACACGTCCAGCTTCCAGACACTTCCAGAACATTCTAGAACACCTCTCCTCCACTTTCTAAAAATGGAGAAAACTAATTTTTTTTCCCCAAAGGAAATAGATAGTGGTTGCCTTTTCTCAGGGACAGGGGCAAGAGTCTTGATTCTTTTGCTGGCAACTACCCAGGGTTCCCTAAGCAAGCCTTAGAAAAGGCCTCCAAGCCCTCAGAGGCAAGTATCACTGCTAATTACCAAGAAAAAGAGGTTTCTTGCTTTGGATTGTGTCACTCAGTACAAGCTGTCATCGGAAAGACAGGGTCCGCCCCAGGGAGAATTCCCACTCAGGTATGTCACAGAGAAAATCAGCTGACTCCAAATTCATTTAGTTTTTGAGACCAGGCCTTGGTTTGAGGGAGTGCAAAGCCCTTTCTGTAATTTGAAGCTGAGGTTAACATCAGTGATCCGTCTCCAGCGGCTGCTGCTTCTCGTGCTCAGTGATGCAATGCCTCACCTCCCTCCTGTCCCACGGGAGAATCCTCAGAGAGAATCTGATACGGAGACTTCACTGGATAATGAAGTCGGCCAATTGTACCACGTGTGTGTATGAATTTATCACAACAAGTCCCACTTTTATGTTCAATTGTAACAAAAATAAATGGGGGGCTAATAACAGTAGAGGAAGGGGATGCGGGGGGGAGAAGGAGGGGAAAGGAGAAGCGCTGGGACTGACCTGCGTCTTTGCGTATGTCACAGGGAGCCCTCCTGTTTTGTAGGAGTCAAAACAAGACAGAAACCCTTGGCTGAGAGGGGTCAGTCCATGCTGCTCTGGGGTGAGCCTCAGAGGACACCACTAGGGGGATCCAGAGTCCCCGAGCTCAGGGAGGCTGGAGAAGATTCTGGTTCTGTGGGACAGTGACAGAGCTCCCTGCCAAAGTGACACTCCCCTTGCCCTTCCTCGCACCCCCCACCCCAATCTCCCCGTACAAGGGTGGCTCCGGAGTCCTCCAAAGGTCAGACCCAAGGCACAAAGAGCCTGTTGCACCTGCAGCACTTATTTGATATCTCACAAGAGCTACAGTTCACGATACGAGAGAAATCTTGAAAATGTGGGGCTCAGGGGTGGGAAACAGGGAGTCGTCCATCGCAGCACAGAGTGCTCCACGTCAGCTTCTCTCACTCACGGTCAGTGCCTGGCTACACAGCAGGTGTGGAATGCATGTGCAATTGTCCCTCAGTATCCACAGGGCAGAGGTTCCAGGAGCCCCGAGGATCCCAGATCCACAGATGCTCCTGTCCCCTGTGCAAAAAGGGCATGGTATCTGTACAGAACCCACCGGCACCTTCCAACATGCCTCTGTCCTCTCTAGACGGCCGACCCCTCCTAGCACCAGGTCAAGGCTAGGTAAGTAACTGTTACGTGGTGGTGCTTAGGGAATAGCCACAGGGGAAAGGTAGTCAACGTTCAAGACAGATGCTTTGAAAAATATTTTAGGCCCATGGTCGGTTGGCTTTGCAGATGTGGAACCCCGAGACCTGGGTCTGTGGCTATGGAGGGCCCACTGTGGGCTGTGACTCTTTAAAGCTGTTTTCAGATTAGGTCCAGATTCTTTTCGTTCTATGGAAAGGAAAGTGAAGTGTTTAGTAAAAACGGGCCATTTCCTGAGTTCTGGCATTGAGCTCCATGCAAAGCCCTTTTCTCAGGTTTTCAATGTTTGCTGCATTTCAAAAACTTATCAATCATAAAACTGTGTACCACCAAGGAGACTTTGCCCGCTGGGATAGGGAGACAGGAACAGGCGGTCACAGACTTCCCTTTGGAAGGGACAGGGGGTTAGGTTCCTTGTTATAAGCTGATGGAGAGTCTAGCCTGGTGTTGAGCATGCATTTTTGGATGATATTGATGGGGACAGACAGATGTGAGTGGTGGGAACATGAGGTTAAGGGACTAATTCTATAGAAGGGACGCACTGTGCGGACCCCCACTGTGCCGACCCTCACTGTGCCGACTCCCACTGTGCTGACCCACATGTTTTCTTTTCCAAGAAACAATCTACCTGCAGCCCTGCCTGGCTTAGGTGGACCGATATGTCACATTCCTCAGCAAACCACCTGCTACCTGAAGAACAAACGGAGGCCTGAAATAATGACGATAAGAGGCACTCAAGTTACCCTGAAGGGGGAGATTTCTGTGACCCTCTTAACAGACCAGATCCCTGAACTCAGGGAGATAAGGAAAATCCCTCCTAACCACACAATCTGTAAGAATTCATAGTCAAGAATCCAATCAGAACTGGTCAGCATGGGCCAAGGGGACCTAGAGTTGTAATGGAAGAGTGGACATTAAACTCTCATGTCATCCTGCTGTCAGTCAAAAGTCAAGAGGGCAAGATCTCCAGAAACTTCTCTGGGATCCTCAATAAAACTGGGGTGCAAGAGAGGCATTGCTGTCCCTCTCCTCTCTGAGAGGACCCGCCCTCTCCCTGGAGCGTGTCCCCTTTCTCTTCAATGAGCTCATGCCTGTTACTCTGAGGGACACGTCTGAAACCTTTCTGACTTGATCACAAGAACTGTGCCACTTCAGCTTCCTGGAAGACCCAGCCCTGCAACAATATGAGCCAACTCGAAGCCTCAAATGCAAGACTTCAGACTGCAGAAGTGGAGACTGCAGAGTGAAGGGGGTCCAAGGTGAGCAGCGGTCGCTCAGAACAGGTGAGGAGCAGGGAATGAGTGCTCAAGTGTGCATCCTCCCCGGAGGTGACACTGTCAGCTGGTCAGGGCTCACTGTGCAAGTTACAGATGAACATGGGCAGGAACCACTTTGCTCTTGGGATGTGGAGCATGAGTGAAGTTGAGAACTGAGTGAAGACCTCAGTAAAAACAGGTCATTTCCTGAGATCTGGCAGAAAAGCTCTCCTCCCCTAAAACACACCCATGATTACATGTGAACAGCAGAAATGAGGTCAATAGGACTGCAGGGAATGGACCTTCACACAATTTCTCCCTTTCCTCCTGGAGATTTTCATTTTAATTTAAATTTTTTTGGTACTAGGGATGGAACCCAGAGGGACTTAATCTCTGAGCCTCATTCCCAGCCCTTTTTATTTTTTATTTTGAGACAGGGTCTCACTAAGTTGCTTAGGGCCTCACTAAATTGCTGAGGCTGGCTTTGAACTTGTGATCCTCCTGCCTCAGCCTCCAGGGCTGCTGGGATTACAGGTATGTGCCAGGGTGGCTGACTAAGTTTGACTCATTTTTAAACCAGGTCTGCATGTGATTTCTGTGGGGGTAGAAGAATGTGGAGAGACACTGGGTGCACTTGATACAACAGAAAAACCAACGTGACAAGTTTTCTAAATGGTGCCTCAAGAAGGGGTAAAATTGCATTTTTATCAGAGCAGTTCATCAAGCTTTTTTTTTTTTTTAATCTAACCTCTTCCTCTTGGCTTGGTAATAAACAACCACAAGTATTTAAATTACTAATGTTTTAAAGCTTCTTAAAAAAGTGCTTTAGAGACTGATCAAATTTTAATTTAAGTAAACATTTGGAAATTTAAAATATCTTCAGTGGTGTTTTTAGCATTCATTAATTTATTTCTAAAGGACTTTAAGAACCTAAATGGCTGGACTCCTTGAAGGTGCTAAGACTACAAGGCACACAGGCATGCTATGTCACCAAGCATACAGCGATGTCCACAGGGGTTGGGTTCAGCATCCTATAGCTGTAGCAAGTAAGAACATCGGGCACAGCTGAAGTGGAACATTTAGCCCTCAGAGGGCCAGCACGGCCCGTCTTACCTGTGGCTTCCACCATCCCCTCCAGGATGACCACAATCTCCAGTTCCTCCTTGGGCAGCTGGGCTTTGGAGATCTCCCAGAAAGGGCTCTGTTGGTTAATTTCGTGGCTGATGATCAGCGGTGACACCAGAAATAGCCGGTCATCCCCTGTGTAGTACCCCACGTTGATGTCCGTCTGGTTCAGGGGAATGAACTCCCCCTCTGACGTCTGTTTGGATTTGATCAGCTTGGCTCTGATGGAGGCCTCCACGATGTGGGAGTTCCTCAGGTCCCCCACCCGGAACATGAGGCACAGTTTCCCGTCCCGCATGGAGATCACCGCGTGGGTGGAAAAGACCAGGGTCTCTGCCCTCTTCTTGGGCTGAGATATTTTTACAAACATGCATCCCACCATGAATGCGTTGACAATGGACCCCAACACAGATTGGATTAGGAGGAGAATAATTCCCTCCGGGCACTTATCTGTGATGACCCGGTAGCCATAGCCGATGGTGGTTTCTGTCTCTATGGAGAATAAAAAAGCAGAGACGAACCCGTTGAGGTTGGTGACACAGGGAGTCCACGAGGGGTCCTCTATGTGGTCCATATCTCCTCGGATGTACGCGATCAGCCACCAGATCATTCCAAAAAAGAGCCACGTCACTGTGTAAACCATGACGAAGATCAGCAGGTTGAATCTCCACTTGAGGTCCACCAGGGTGGTGAAGATGTCCGTCAGGTAGCGGTAGGTCTCCCTCACGTTCCCGTGATGGACGTTGCACTTTCCGTCTTTCCTCACGTACCTCTGGATCTTCCTTTTGGTCCGGTCCCTGCTGATGTGTCTGGGCAGGTCGTCCCTGGCCTGCTTAGGCAACTTTGGCTGGTGAATGGCCACGGGGCTCTCCACATCCTGATCCATGGAGTCCCCCTCCAGGACATTAGCTGGTGTTTGGAGAAAAGAAAAGAAACACTAATTGAGATGCTGACTCTCTGCCGGTGACAGAACTGCATGCTCTGTGTATGGCGGTGACACCAAACACGGTTTGTATAGCTATGAACGAGGAGAACGAAGCCATTTTTATTTGGCGCTATCTGGGTTCTGGTTGACTTGGGCTCCTGTGCTCACACCAGCACCTCGCCACCCAGCCCACCAGGACGGAGCTCAACGCTGCAAGATCACCTCCCTGCCAGCAGCTTCCACTGAGCGAGCTCTTAGGGCCAATGTCCCATGCTCAGTCCGAGATGCTGTGGCAAGAAGACATCTCTTAATGCAGACGATCTTATCTCCACCTCTTAGCAAACGTGGGTTCAAGCCATGCTGTTAGGAACTGAATCATGTCCCCTCAAAACCCATAGGTTGAAGCCCTGACCTCCAGTGTGACTGTCTTTAGAAATGGACAATTTCAGGCTAAAAGAGTGAGGTCCTAATCTAGCAGGATTTATGTTCTTATAGGAAGAGGAAAAGACACCAAGACGCACAGGAGCAGAGACAAGGCCATGGGGGGACACCAGGAGGAGGTGCCGTCTGTGAGCCCAGGAGAGAGGCCTCACCTGAACCGGCCCCGAGGACACCCAGATCCGCCCTTCCAGCCCCCACCACAGAACTGTGAGATATCAGGTCTCTGTTGTTGGAGCACCCAGAACAGCTGGGGCAGCTTCGGCTGAGCAAGGCACCACCCAGGTGCACTGAGCCTCAGTCTCCGCACTTAAAACCTGATGGCGATACCAAACTCACAGGTGTTTTAAATGCTCCTTATTCATCTTAGGAGCACACTAGAGTGAGGCTTACTGTTGGGTTCATTTTGACAAAATCATACACTCATGGAATTTGATTTCCCCCCCTTTCCCCCTTCCCCTCTTCTCCTCCCTCTGCTCTACCTCTCTTCACTCATTTATTCATTCATTTTTGGTTGGTTCTTTCTACTTATGCACAAAGGTGGACTTCTCTGTGGTATATTTACGATTGCACATACCGTGGTTTCATTAAATTCACTCTGTATTTTCTCCCCTGTCCTGTTCCTCCTCCTTCCTTTTGGTCTTCTCTGTATCTTTATGACATCCTATCCCTTCCTTCTTTCTCTTATTTTGCTTTAGTTTCCACATCTGACCAAAAAAAAAATCGACCCTTCATTTTCTGATTCTGCCTTATTTAGCTTAGCCTGATGTTCTCCATTTCCATCCATTTACCGGCAAATACCATCATTTCCTTCTTCTTTATGGCTAGGTAAGACTCTATTGTGTAACGTACACCACATTTTCTTTATCCATTTACCTATTGACAGGCATCCAGGATGGTTCCATAACGTGGTTATTATGGCTTAGGCTGCTGTAAGCATCGAGATGGCTCTATCACTAGAGTATGTTGATTTTAGATCTTTTGGGTAAATTCCAAGGAGTGGGATAGCTGGATCATGTGGTGGTTCCATTCCTGTGTTTTTGAGAAATATCCATGCTGCTTTCCAGAGTGGTGGTATTCATCTGCATTCCCACCAACAATGTACAATCATACCATTTCCCTCTCATCCTCACCAGCATTTATTATTATTTGTGTTCTTGATCGTGGCCATTCTGCTGGAGTGAGATGAAATCTTAGTGTAGTTTTGATTTGCATTTCCCCAATCATGGAGTTGTTACAAGGAAAAGGAAATCACATGCGTGAACTGGCCTGCATGAGACAGGCCACATTTACCTCTGGTAATAAACTACTCCCTTTAACATTTAGGGCAAGACTTTTGAACAGAAGTCTTTAAATTATTATTCAAATTTCAGGGCTTAAAATTTTCTGGTTTTTGTTGGTAAGTACGCATGCATTGTACATTAATGGTTTATTCAATACCAAGAAAAAAAAAGTGTGGAGAAATGTTCTCTCTCCTGGGTGTTCATACATTTGGTTTGATTTCTGCCTCAACATCTAGCATCTGCAGCTTGGCACGTGGCAATTTTCTTTCTGATGGCCTCTGTGGTTAATGCATCGGCACAACCATTAGCCAACGATGCACCGGGAAGCCTCTCTTAGAGTCTGAGTGCGGAGGGAGCTTTGGAACTGATTCTGCTATTAAAAAAGTGTGTAAACCGATGCATGAAATTACTTGTTTAGCCAATAATTTTAGAGCTTCTGAAAGTTTTATAAGCAGCTTCTCCCTCCAGGATTCCCTTTGAGGTCCTTTGACTCAGCTCTGCCTTTCATCTGCAGTGAGACTGTGTTTTTCTCTTAGTTAAAGGAGAATCGAAGTCTGGTGAGAAACATCATCTATCTGAACAAGAGAATGGCTGCGGGTTGGGGTTTGAGTGGTACCAACTTGACTTACGGCCCTGTCTTGCTCACAGCTGGCTAGTTGCCTTGAGAGTCAATGGCGTGGATCTGTTTTTAGGATGTACCTGGTCTGCGGAGCCTGCTGTCAAGTTTGATAGCTTTGACTTTTAGATCGTTGCTCTCAATAGCCCTTCATTTGTAAATGAAAAAGTTTGCTTTTTTTCTTCTTAGAACAGAAGCCTGGGGCAGGCCTGGCGGAGAGGCTGGACTGGGCTGAAGGTCAGTGGAGTATGGGCAGAAGAGTCCCATCCCTGCTCAGGGCCAGCACCCCACACGGCAGATGCTTGCTTGCCGAATGGTCATGTTGGAGTGCTCACTGCTGACTTTCCCTGACTGGTCTCCAAACGTGACTCCCTGTGGCAGGACCTGTGGGTCCAAACCCTGCCAGGTTGGGAAGGCCAAGTCTGCAGAGCCCTGTGAAGGTTTTAGCAGGCCCAGGTCATCCTCTGGCCTTGACAGCCAGTCATCTGGCTGGTTCTGCCAGACCTCCCGGAGCCCTTGTCTTGAGGTGGAAGAAGAGGGTTGTTAGACTAACTGCTTCTCCCAGTCTCCTATGATATTTCATACTTTAAAAATGTGACGGAGAAGACCTCTCCCTGCCTTCCTGCTGTTCCCAACTTGACGCTACTTTCCCCCATTCTGGCTCAAACTGCAAACTTCAAGTTCCAGGCATTTGGCCCTGACAGGGGCTGTGTGCTTGGAAGGCCAGGGAACGAGGAGTGATGGTGATCTGGGCACCTGAGGAGACCCTCTGCAGATCCCCTGTCCTTTCTGCAAGGCAAGATCCCATCACCCATCCTCCTGGCAGTCAGGGTGGCCGTGGTGACTGAGTCCTGGCTGTCGTGAGTGGGGGGTGTCTTTCTGAGCCTCAGTTTCAAACAGGGCACATGCCCCCTCCTTATGTCTTTGCCCTGCTGTGGGGGGACACTGGAGTTAAGAGGGGAGGATCCTGGCTCCTGAGTTGGTGTTGGAGATCTGCCATCTGTGTAGAAGCAAGAAGAACCATGACTGTGTTTGAACCATTATGCATTTTGTCTCCATTATCAAGTCAAGACTTATCTCCAATTTTCTGGGCAGAAATAAGTGATGCCTCTAAGCAGAAGGAAGAGCTATCAATCAGGGGGACTGGTTATGGGAAAGAAAAGCAGAAGATGGAGTGCTCTGAGGGTGTTTGGAAGATTTAGCATGTGCTTAATCAAGTGCTTGTGTTTGGTGTGTGTGTGTGTTGGCGGGGGGATGTAAGTGCACAGCCCATGTTGGTGCCTTCACAAATAAATGAGGCCAGCCAAACCGCCCTGGGACTGTGATCAGTCTGTGACTGACAGGCGGGCTTGGTGGGGCTGCTGCATTTGCGTGGTGATGCGGGCGGGCCGGGTGCACCAAGGGAAGCCGGGAGGTGGGCCTCGGCTCAACAGTGGCAGCCGGGAGGAGCAGGAGTGGAGTTGAGGGAGACGCCAAAGCCCAGGAGATGTGAGCACTGGACGGGTAGAAGACACAGAAGCCAGGGCCTGAGAGGTCCAGAAAGGCCAGGTCAGCGAGGAGGAGAGGGCGTGGGCGTTGGGGTGGGCTGGGTCTGCTGCAGGTGCAGGAGAGGGGATGAGCGCCTCATGACTGTGTCTGGAGTCATCCAGGGGCCACTGCATAAAGAGAAGGGCCATTCTAGGCCAGAGCCAGGAGCGGAGCCGCAGGAGCCCGCTGACATGCATGCACCTTGGGCAGGAGAACGCTGCGGGAGGGAATGTGATCGATGGCTTTTGGTTTTTCTTTCTCTCTGGGAGCCCGGGTGTGAATTTCAGCGGGGTTCTGAATTGCATTTCCAAGGGTGTTCTGAGCTGAGCAGCAGGCGAACTGCAGCTGGATGGGAAAGCAGACATTGCTCCCTTGCACAGCAAGGACACAAATGCTCCCCCAACCCTTCCAGAACTTTCTCTGGTCCGGGCCGCCCGGTGCGTGGGCCAGCATCCAGCACTAGCTGCTGCTGGTCTCCACCAGTAGCCCACAGGTGTGCTGGCCACAGAGAGTGCAGAGGACAGGCCCCCCTCTGCTACCCATGAAGTAAGTGCCCTGCAAATGTGCAAAAGGGTCGGGAATGGTTCCCGGATTTGCCTCAAGGACTTGCTTTTCTGGATTTTGGTGTAAATGTGGGTCTGTGTGAGGAAACCCAGGTGTTTGTTTTGATACCCTCTCTCTCTCTCTTTTGCTATTTTTTCCTCCTTCTTTCCTTCTTAGAAAGCGGATCAATTTGCACAGAAGCAGCTAAGGTACAAAATCTATCTGGAAAGAAGCAATAACAAATGATGAGCCACGAGCTGCTCATCACTACCTGGTCCCTTAATCAGTGTGGCCCTGTCACAATTCAGGTGTTCTTCTTGTCCAGGGAGGGCTGCCCTGGGGGTCCTGCTCCCTAGTGGGTGTTCCCCTCCTGCAAAATTCCTGTGTTCCAAGTTACATAGGCGTTTGCTGTGTAAAACCTCCAGTGTGCAAGAAAAGGTACAGACACTCCTGTAAGACCTTTTAGTGCCTCGAGAAGGACAAACTGAGAAAAGCAAGGTCACTCATTTTTTTGGGCAATGCATGTGTGAAAGCAAAGCTGGGCAGGGAGAGCCCCTGGACGACAGCAGGGTGGTTC